ACTAGTCTGTCTATGTTACGACCACTTCTCTATGAAGTTTTTTCTAATTTTGGAACTGTTGAAATTGATGTTTAGTTTTATAATCAGATTTACTAAAATGTGAGTGCCCTAGAAGCTTGTGCTGAGTATCACATTTGTACAATACAAAGCAGGTTTCTTTTCTCAAAAGGAACTAGAATTGCATTTCCTTGGTGCAGAATGGCCTGGCTCAGAGTACTCCTTATGACATATTTGGGGTGTGTCTTTATTTAGTAGCTAAATGCACACATCCCATAAAACAAACACTTTAAGAGCCAAGCCACTGTTTCTTGCAACACCTTTCAAACCCCAATGAGGAAGAGTGAACTGTGACCTTCAAGGAATTATCAGCTTCTCAAGGGAACTTTTAAAATTTTTATTTTGTAGAAAGTAAGCCCTCATAGTAACAGAGAACTATAAACTCCACTGTACAGAAAGATTTTCATTAAGAATAGAACTTTTGCAGGGTAGGAGACCCATCTTGCTCTCTGAAGACCACAGAACACTTTTCCTTCCCCAGAAGCCATGTAAAGGACCATTACCTCTAGCACACCTATGGTGAGGCACAAAGAGGCTTTCTGATCCCCTCCAATGGAGTTGGCAACTCTGTTTAAATTATTTAAGAGGAGACAATTAAATCACTTGAGAACCCTAGAATGGCAGCAAATAGAATCCAAGAGATGTCCTGCTAGCTTGGTCCAAGACTTAGCAAAAGTTACCTTCTATCAGCCCCGCTGATGACTTGGTGACAACAAAGAACAGTTTAGATTTTTTGATCCCAGGACCTGAACCGAAGGCAGACACTTAACCAACTGAGCCACCCAGACGCCCCAGAAATCCATGTTCTGAGAACCAGATCTCCAGAACATCACCCAGAAGACCATCTGGAGGTTAAACACCTTATAGCAAAATTGACACTTTAAAGTGGAAAGGAAGGGACACTAACTCTCTTCTTCTAAAACAGCTCTTCTCGATGGCGTTCGTTATTATCAACGGCCCGCCAATGTAGGTCAGGTTTCAGCAGAGAGCAGTAGCTTCCATTCTGGGGAAACAGTTTACACAGTTCTCAATCTCCCTGCCTAGCACCTTCTGCTCGGAGGAAAGAAGGCAGAGAACTGTAGAATTGCCCCTACAGGAACCCCCCTTTGCTTACGTCTGCTATTTGGCTTTTATAAATACTAGCTCATGAGAGCCCCCCGCCGACGACTCTGAGAGGTAAGCAGGACAGGCATTACATCCATGTTCCAGGTGAGAAAACAGCGCGTCTGAGGTTAAATGAGTCACGTGCCCAAGGTCACAAGTCAGGCGGTTATTTGATAGCCCAACCAGCAGATGAGCCTAGCGCTCTGGCTCACCGGCCAGCACGATTTCCAGGACACTAGCCAGCTTCCTGGTGTTCTGGTATGGGAGGCAGTGCAGTGTAATGGTTAGGAGCCCAGGTTCTGACACCAGCAGACCTATATTCCAACCCCAGCTCTGCCACCTCTTCACTATCTGACCTTGTGTCTGCTCCTAACCTTGCCCTACATCTCTGTTTCCTCACCTGTAAAATGGGGACGAAACCGCCTACCTCACAGTTATAGGGTTGATTAAATGAGATGATAGACAGGAGGCACTCAGATTCATTCCCTCGATAAATACTTGTGCCAGGCACGCACAGTGCAGGCGATACAGTAGTGAGCAAGAGGCCCAATCCTATTCTCATGGAGCTTAAAAATCAGTCAAACTAAATAGAAAAGGCAAACAGATAAAATAAAATACTTATAAAGTGTGTGAAGTGCTGTTAAGGTAACAGGTGAGTGGCTGGAAAGATTCAGAGGAGGGAGGCAAATTTTAAGAGTGGTCTCTAAGGAGGAATTTAAGTCTGAGTCATGAGGGATCAGAAAGAACTACCCAAAAACAGAATGGAAGGGAAAGCATTCCAATTATAGGGACCAGGGCGTGCAAGGTTCACAACCTGGGGAAGCGTAGGAACCGAGAGAAGACAAATGTGTTGGCTACGTATCCTCACGGGACCTGGGGAATAACCTTTCCAGGCTGGCTGCCAAAGACTAACACGTCTATTTTAAAAATAACAAAGACGAGGCTCAAGAGAGGTGATGTGTCTTCCCCAAGGTCACAGCTACTCTGAGGAGGGCCAGAGACCCTAGTATTTTACCTCCAGACACAACATCAGCTCCCTCCCTCCGAGGAAGCTTCGTGAACCCTGAACTCCCCTGCTTATTTCACTGACAATGGTTGTCGGTGCCTATGAAGATTTCCAAAAGCACCTTAAAAACACAAGCAACAACATCCCATCAACTTCTAGGCATCTAGTCAATTGTGCACCGAAGTCCTTATCCTTCACTCTTATGACACAGGAGCAAAAACTGCTTGGCCTTACTCAAAGGCTCCAAAATAGAAACAAGTTTCTCTTCTTACAGCAATAAACAAGAGAGGAAAGGGATGTCCTGGAAGGAAGGTCCTGTGGCCTGTTCCGGAAAGTGAGACAGAACTACCAGTGCAGAAGACTGGAAATATGAAGGTTCATGGCAAATGAACTGCCAAGGAAGAACTATTTTATTTGAATAAAAGAATGAATCCCTAAACAAGTGGTTGTCAGTCAGGATGGTGTCCCGCTCCTGCACCAAGAGCATTTGGAAATTTTATGGAGGCATGTAGTGGGCAGGGCCAGGTGTGCTCAGAATGTTAGAAAAGGACAGTCCTATAAAAAAATGTATTACCCAGGGGGCCTGTCTAGCTCAGTCAGTACAGCATGAGCCTTGATCTTGGGGTCTTGAGTTGAAGCCCCACACTGGGTATAAAGATTACTTTAAAAAAGTGTGTATGTATATATATACACAAAATTTGGAAAATGAATGTATTACCCAAAATATTAGGAGCTGCCTCATACACACTTTCATATTGATCCCAGAAGGATTACTATGCCCCAGCTTTTCCTGTATTCTCATGGTTCTGTGGCTCTTCCTACCCTCACACAGCTAGATGAAAAAAATTAAACTCAGGTTTCACAGCTGAGGAGTCTGAAATTTTGGAATCCAACTGTAAGCTCATAACTCCATCATGGAACCTGGTACCAGGTGGAATAAGGAAAAAGAAGTTTCTAGTAAGAAACAGTTAAGAAATTTTCAAAACGGACACTCCTTCCCCAGATAAGCATCCATAAGATTACATTTGTTTTGCAACACACAAAATCCTGTGATTTTAGAGAACCGTCATGCACTGCTTTTCAGTTTAAAATCGGATACTAATGACAGTTCTTTTAAAAAAGTTAATCACAGTCATCTCACAAATAGAGCTTCCTTTTTCTGGATCTAATTTTATAAGAAAAAATTTTAATTTCAAGATGTCTAAAAATGATCAAATGTCTAAAAGTGCCCAAAGCAGTCACACCTTGCATCTTATTCAGGACAGAGATTGATATAGATCAAGGAAGCTCGGATGGTATTTAGAGGTCCGTTCAAGAATTAAATTATACTGGGGCGCCTGGGTGGCTCAGTGGGTTAAGCCTCTGCCTTCGGCTCAGGTCATGATCTCAGGATCTTGGGATCGAGCCCCAGTTGGGCTCTCTGCTCAGTGGGGAGCCTGCTTTCCCCTCCCTCTGCCTGCCTCTCTGCCTACTTGTGATTTCTTTCTGTGTCAAATAAATAAATAAAATCTTTAAAAAAAATAAAAATACCATTTTAGTAATTCAAAAGCCACTTTCCAGTGTTACTCTAAATTAGTCACTAATTTCCCTTCAAAAATTATTTCACAAATTAAAGTTCATAGAATCTAAACAAAAGCCAGACTATTTCCAGAAATAAGAAAGATTTTTAAAGTCTACCCTATTTCACAATAGCTAGAACAGTGTTCCAATAGATACACCCTCCATAAGGCAATCTTCCTTCTTTCTACACAATATCTAGATTTGCTTAACTCTCCCAAAGAGTCTGAAAATGTTAACTTCTTCACACTGACTTGTCAATTAGCAAATAGTGGCCCCACACCCCTTTTGACCTGGCTTCTCAGGTTAGCTGAGCAGGCAGACCTGTTTTCCTCCAGAAGTTCTTGCCAGTGCCTTTTCTGCCCTGCCAGTCAGGGCCTGGGAAATCCTCCTCCAGCTTTTTGCTGGCCTGTCACCAGAAGTTCACAAAATGAATTCATCCAGATTTTTTGAATCCCCCTCTTCCCCCGGTAACACACCAACAACATCCAGGCAATGAAGTCCCACCTCCCATGACAAAAAGGTAGAGATTACCAGGAAGACCTAGCACTGGGCATGGAGGGGAAGAAAAAAGATGGAGGGATGTGAGAGTCACCCAGCCAAGCCTACTGCATGCATGCAGCACCCGCCACCAGAGCCCTGGTCCTGCAAAGCCTCAGAGGGAGGCTCCCTGGCTAGGCCCTCCATTCGGCAAGCCACACCTGTCTATGGCAGCAGCCTTCCGGCTGCTCCATTTTAAACAATTCAGACAGCTCTCCAGCAGGGTGGCAAAATTGGGCACCCCCTTCTCTCAGCAAGAGTGGGAGCCCTAATCCAAACAACACTTGCCCCCAATTTTCTTTCTTTTCACACTCTTTGTTTGGAAGACACCGCTTGGTCAAACCGGATCCCTCTCCCTGTTAACGGGGAGGTAGGCACAATGCTGCAGTGACAGAAAGGAAGCATCGAGGCCGACTTGCTATAAGCCAGACAAGATCTCCTCTCTGAGGACGGTGATGCCGATACATGGGACTTCAATGGGCAGGTTTCACTTTGCTCATCCACAAGTGAACCAACCCCTGAAGTCCTAAAACGCCCGGTTCCGCAGCCTCGCAGGAAGCCTCTTTTCTAAAGGGTAGATAGCCCATTCATCCCCAGGAACCAAAGGGAAGGCGGACAGATCCAGGTCGCGCACTCCACATCCAAATCTTCGCAAGCGCGCGCGAAGGTTTGGGGCGCCCCGGCGCGCCCTCCCTTGCACTCCACCCTCCCAGGCCTCCACCGCCCGCGGACTCACCACTGTGCGAGCTGAACCACCTGGGTGCGATGTGCAGAGGTAGAGCATCCGCCAGAGAGGCTCGGGAGCCCAGGTACAGCATCCCGTCTCTATGGTGACCGCCGCCGGTCTCCTGGTAACCATTGCCATGGGCATAGGTGGAGTCGGACGCAGACCCTCCGCCGCCGGGCGCCCTCTCCGAGTCGCCGGTGCCCCGGGAGGCGGGGGTGTAGAGGCCAAAGGGCACCCCCCCCGGCCGTGCTGGGGTCCATGCCCATGCCCGCCACTGAGCTGACTGAGCGGCTGCGCAGCCCCATGGCCCCGCCGCCCGCCCGGTAGTGCCCAAAGTGGGGCGCCCCTCCCGGCGGGGGCACGGCGCTGTCATCGGTGGAGACCCCCGGAAAGGGGCCCCGGGAGCGGGCCGCCGTGCTCTGCTTGCCCCCCATGCTCGCCCGGGCCCCGGTGGGGCGGGAACCTGGAGGCCGAGACCCTCCCCCACTTCTCAGCAGCGGGGGGAGGGTTGGGCGAGCATAAAGGGGGAGGGAGTCAAAAAGGAGACCGGGAGGAAAAAAAGGAAAAAAAAGAAAAAAGAAAAGAAAACCCGCGGGGCGGAAGAGGCAGGCGGGCGGGGATCCCAAACTAAGAATTTAAAACGATCCAAGCCAAACGCATGTTTCCCCTCAAGGTCCAAAGAAGCGCAGTCCGGCGCGGGCTCGGCGCGCCACAGGCCGCCCCCGGGCTCCCGAAAGCCGGGGGAGCCGCAGGGAAGGAGGGAGGGAGGGAGGCGGCGGGCGGGCGCAGGGAGGCGGCGGAGGAGGCCGCCCGCCGGACAGGAGGAGGAGGAGGGCTGGGGGCACCGGGCGCGTCCCCCGCCTCAGGACGCCGCGACCATGGACGCCGGCCCGGACCCCTCCAGGCCTCGGGCGGGCTGCGGCGCTGGGCGGCCAGGCGGAGCTCGGGAAGCCGCGGTCGCGTCGCGTCGCGCTCTCGCTCCAGCCGCCGCCGGCCCCGCCAGCCGCTCCGCCCCGCTCGGTCCCGGGCTGCGCTCGCCGGCGCTCCTCGCCGCCGTGGAGACAATGGAGGGCGGCAGAGCGCAGGCGCGGCCCGCGCCCCCTCCCCTCCCCCCCGCCGGGTTAACCCCTTCGCGGCCCCTGCGGCGCCCGGCCGCTGACGCCCAGGAGGTACCCACCCACCCACCCAGCGCGACCGGCCTGTGACCCGGGTGGCCCGAGCCACGGGGCGTCAGGAACAGAAGCCAGGCATCTTTTCAAAGCAAGCGCTCTTTAGAGGTCCTGAAAATGGCTAATTATTGAGGGGGAACCACCTATGGGAGGAGGGGCGGCAACGGTTCAAGGGGCTGGGAAGGAAACGCCAGGAAGAATGAAAATTACTCGAGACGCCTACCTGGCTCTGAGGGTCACTGGTCAAGCCTCCCTCCCGGCACAAATTTGCCCCCACAGCACCCTCTGGTGGACGTGCTGTCCATTTTTGCGGAGGTTTCCCAACCAGGAACCCCTAAGATCAGATGAGGAAGCCTAGCATTTGGGGAATTTTTAGCTGTTTGGCACTGGGGCACTTGTGACTCCGGATTTTGCTGAGAGTAGATCGGAACTTCCTACTTGAGGCTTAAGCAGTGGACTGATTCCTTATCTAAAATGCGATCCTGAAGATGATTAGGTGTGACATAGAAAGTGAGAAGAAAGGGACACAGCCAGAACTGGTAATTTTAGAAACTTCCTAGTCCAAGGCGAGTCCTCGGTTTTGCTTACCTTTTATTCCAACATGCACCGTAGTGGGATGCACAGTGGGTACTCAATAAGTATTTGTCCACCGAGTCTGCATTTTGCAATATGTCTCTCTCACATATTCACATCCATCCATCCATCCATCCATTCATTCAAGAACCATTTTTCAAGTGCTGGGTGCTGGCTATGAGCATCACCCAGTCCCTAGTCCAACTTCCTTGCTCTAAACGTCCCTCAGATACTTCCACATCAAGGAGCCAAAACAGGGGGTAGAGAGCTATTAAAAGAACCCATCCCCCAAAAGCAGAGCTGGTCTGTCACAGGTATTGACTGTCCCAGGGTGAGCAGCTTGGAAAGAAACAGGAGGAAGGATATTTATTTGCAAGCATGGAGTGCTTAGAGGTGAGCAGAAATTCTGCTTGAGAAATCAACATAGAAAAAAACAAAATGTTCCAATACCCAAGAAATTATCTGTTAAGTGGCTAAATAAGGAATTTGTGCACACCTAAGATCCAAATGAGTGGTCTGAAGGAAAATAAGAAAGCTTACATTTAACCCTCCTTTCTCCCTGAAGAAAAAGTATGGTAACAGAAAAGGGGTGGTACAGTTCTGTGCAGGAGAAAGGATACTGGATCCCTTGACAGAGCTCTACTGGGGAGAAGAATCCACAATCAGTAAGCATTATTGTAACCATCTAAGTAACTTTTGATTTACCTATCCATTCAACACTTTTTTTTTAGCACATAGAACAAAATGTGAATGTCTAGTAAGTGCCAGGCACAGCACTAGGTTCTGGGATTTGGTGGCGAGCAAGACAGATGGAGTCTGGGTTCTCACAAAGTTTCAGGAGAACCATTTCACACCCACTAAAATGGTTATAATCAAAGGTGATAAATAAAAATGTTGGTGAGATGTGCAGACATTGGGACGCTCATACCTTGCTGGTGGGAATGGAAAATAGTAGAGCTGCTTTGGAAAACAGTCTGGTGATTCCTCAAAAAGTTTAAACAGTTATCATATGACCCAGCAATTCCACTCCTATGTCTATTTCCAAGAGAAATGTAAACCTATATGCACAGATAAACATGTATGTGAATGCTCGTAACGGCATTATTCAAAATAACTAAAAAGTGGAAGCAACCCAACTGTGTATCCATTTATGAATGGATAAAGCCAATGTGTTGTGCCTATACTGTGAACTATTATTCAGCCACAAAAAGAAATAAAGTACTGATATGTGTAACAACATGGATGAACCTTGAAAACATTACACCAAGTAAAAGAAGCTAATCACAAAAGACCATATATTGTGTAATTTCACTTATATGAAATTTCCAGAATGGACAAATCCACTAGGACAGAAAGGTTACTGGTTGTTGGAGCCGAAGGACTGGCAAGAATAGAGAATGACCGCTAAAGTGTTAGTTTCCTTTTAGAGTGATGAAAATGTTCTGTATTAAATAATGGTGATGTTTGGGGCACCTGGGTGGCTCAGTCAGTTAAGTGTCTGACTCTTGATCTCAGCTCAGGTCTTGATCTCAGGGTTGTGAGTTCAAGCCCTGCATTGGGCTCCATGTTGGGTATGGAGTCTACTTAAAAAAAAAAAAAAAAAAGAGGGGCGCCTGGGTGACTCAGTCAGTTGAGTGTCTGCCTTTGGCTTGGGTTGTGGTCTGGGGGTCTTGGGATTGAGCCCCGCATTGCTGGGCTCCCCGCTCAGTGGGGAGTCTGCCTTTCCCTCTCCCTCTGCCCCTCCCGCTGCTCGTGCTCTCTCTCTCTCAAAAAAATAAAATCTTTTTTTTTTAAAGAATAGTGGTGATGTTTGCACAATCTTGTGAATATACTAAACACTGCTTGATTACACATTTAAAAGGGTGAATTTGATGGTATGTGAATGACAGTGCAATGTCATACAAAATACTGAAGTAAGCAGTGACAGTACAGGGTGACAGATATGCCTAGCGCCGTGCCTGGCATGTGGTTAGCCCCTCATGTGAATGAATGAGTGAATGAGGAAGTGCCATGAGAGTGAAAGATTCTGGTGCTGGTGGAAAGAGACAGGCACCAGCAGCGATCTTAAGCCAAGGCCTAAAAGATGAGCTGGTGATGAGCCTGGGAATGGGGTGGCAGGGGGAGAACTGCGCTGAAGGAAGACGAGCATGTTCCAAGCATGTTCCTAGCGTGTTCGAAGGCCTAAAGAACATTGCATCTTCAAGGGACTGAAAGCAGCAGTGGAGCCGATAGGAGAGGATGTGGGAACCAAAGATGAAGCTGGTCCTCAGGGGACAAACCTGAGAGTCCTTGGAGCCACAACAGAAGCACAGACCATATCCTGAGGGTGTACAGAGCTCTGGGAAGATTTACCAAAATCATTATCAGTACACATAAGAATGGCCAATGACTAATGAGCAATGAGGATGTCAAGACTTGAAAAATTAAGAAACTTGCCCCCTCCCCACCTAAAGATCTATATTTTTCTTAGCTTCTAGATTCATAAAGGTACTAGATAGAGACATGAAACAATATGAGGTAGCCCCCCTGGGGGTGGGCCATCATCGGAACTGAACAGTGGGATGACAGGATGAATGACAAAGATTTTATTTCATCGTGTACTTTTTTTTTTTTTAAGATTTTATTTATTTGAACAGAGAGAGAGAAAGATCACAAACAGGCAGAGCAGCAGGCAGAGAAAGAGGGGGAAGCAGGTTGGTTTCCTGCTGAGCAGAGAGCCCAAGGTGGGGCTTGATCCTAGGACCCCAAGATCATGACCTGAACCAAAGGTAGAGCCTTAACCCACTGAGCCACCCAGGCACCCTCATCATGTACTTTTTCGGTATTTTAATATTGGAGCCATGTAAACAGAGAGAGACAGAGAGATAAAGTCTACACCCGGGCATTCACGTCACTTGGCTAGTAGGGGTAGAGCCAGACTTCTAAGCTTCCCAGCAAACTGGCTCATCAAGGACTCTTTGGACGCCAAGTTCATTTTCTCTGCATGCTCGTCAATGGAGTGCAAAAGAGTAGATCTGCTTAACAGCTCTATTTCTTTCTGTTACTTAAGAATTTGCCATTAGGATTTATAGTCCTGTCTACTGATTAGGAGAGGCCAGCCTCTGTCGCATCTGGCACCACGGAACAGCTGAGAGCCTGAGCTGGGGGTGAAGCCTCTACTCCCCCCAGTATGATGACACCAGGCCCAGGTGCCCTGTGGGACTCTGACTAGCAGCCTCTCTCAGGCAATGCCCTTGTTATCTCCTTGTGCACTTAGTAAAGAACAAATTTCCTTTGAAATTAAAATATTCAAATGCAGAGCAGGGCAAGTTCCTCATTCAATAGCTTGGCTCTACCCTTTACATCTTAGGGAGAGTGACTCAGGGCATAGCAACAGGCATGCACAGAGACTTGCAAGCTCCAATTAGTTGATTAGTTTCCTTTTGTCATTTGTTGCATTCAGAGTCCAGTAGGGGGGCTGCAAGTTTCTCCTGTAGATTCTTGGTTGAAAGTTAATGGGTCTGGGGAGGTGTTGAGTCATTTTGGATGGTCTCGATGCATGGCGGTCAGATGCAGAAAGGGCCCCAGCTAGATTGATAACTCTGTTTTATTATTTTTTAACTTCCTGCTCTCGCTGACCCTGGGTGAGCTGCTTCCTGGCTGTTCTTCAGCTGTGAAACAGGGTTAATAAACCACCGACCCACCTACCAGAACTGATAGGAGAAAAGGCTGATGAGACTGGTATTGCCAAACCCTGCAAATGCCAGGACATAACAATGTTACAAAGCCCCAGTTTCAAACATCTCTGGGAGAATGTAAGTCTGGGAGATTCCTGAAAGGTTTGGAAAATGAGGGAAACTGCTTGCTGGGGCCAACTCCTGAGAATCCTTGGGAAACCTGTGGCCTCCTTCCTCTCTGTCTCCATGAACCACGTCTTTGGGGGAAGTCCCCAGCAGTCCCTCTGGGGTAGGTAAGTGTCTCCCAGTAAGAAACTTCCCCCCAGATTTCTCAGAGCTCTTTACATTTGTATTATTTTGCTTGAAAAGAGAAAACTTAGAGAAACCAGGCCAATGGGCAACCAAATGCACAAAGCCAGGAGCACGAGCTTGTGTGCACGTTCACAAATATTTGTTGACTGATGGAGAGGAAAATTACTAGTGGGGCTCAGGGCAGGATTCCAAGATTCCCAGATGTAAAGAGACTGAGGGGTGGGCTAACTCCGCATCCTGCAGAAGAGGAAACGAAGGACTAGAAAGATAAAGGATCTGAGTTAAAACTTTGCAAGGGCAGCTGCTGATAACAGCCAGCAGAAGCCCTGGAT